TTTTTTTCACATTCTGTCTCTCACAGTTGAAGTGTACCTCTGGTGCAAATTACTGACCTGTGTCATCATTTTAAGTGGGGGAACTTGCACAATCGGTGGCTGACTAAATACTTTTTTGCCCCACTGTATGTCAATTTGTAGTGTTGCTCCATGGTGCAGCCACGACACCGTAGCAAAGTTTACACACTATGTCTACTTGATCCACGTCTGACTCCGCAAACCCATAATGTTTCCACACCACTGAAGTCGTTTTATCTCTCTTTTCAACCAACGGCATTCTTTCTTTAGCAGCCATTATCCTATTCTCTCTAAATAACTTCTACTTAGCTTTCCGAGCTTCCCTCGAGTCCTCTTTATTGTTGTGATGCGTGTTCGAAACGCAGAGAGGCGCGCTCGATATGCCACACGGAGCAGCGCGAGAGTAAAGCACGAGGGAGGGGCTAATAATCGGCTCAGTCATTTTTAATGATCGTTGAAAGCCCAGATCGTAATTTAGATTAAAATTTGATTAATTGATCAGCCCTACTTCCTTCATATTTTTTTTTCTGATGGCTGCTCCTTGTAAAGTTGTAAACTGATTTGAATAGAACATGGGTGGCACATCTGTGAGGAGATCATATTAGCAATGCCTGCTCACACTACACTTCCAATAGCAGGAAAAAAAAACTGTGTGAAACTATGTGTTTGGCCTGAGGTCTTGTCTCACAGGATTTACTTGTTCATATGCGGACCTCATTATTTGAAACTTTGGCCATCTACAACAACAACGTAACAACATTTATGTAACAGGAAATGAAGAAAAGCTCAAGAAGTTCGGTTTAATAAACAGTGGATTGTTGTAAAATTCATAAACAGACATCTACAAAATGGCTTCAGTTTGTTGATCTGTAAGTAGTGAAGTACTAGATTATTGCTTAAACGTGGTGTGAAGAAATGCTTCCCACTTACTACCAGCTGCCTGGTGTGTGATTGTTACTCATTTATGTATATATGTATGTATGTGTTTGTATATGTATTCATAGGAACTGAAAAAGGACCCTAAAGAGGGCAGTCAAACAGCAGATGAGCCAAAGGAAGAGCAGCCTCAGAAGAGAGAGAAGGTGGGGAACGTGGCCGGCCTGGTCCAGAGAATAAGCACTCTTGGCATCCCGACCGGTGCCTTCCAGCCACCAGTGCCTGCAGCTTCAAAGAGTAAGGAGCCCGAGTTTGGTGTTTGCATGTTTGGAGGGAATGAGACTTTAAAGTGCTTGGTGTCCAGGATGAGTGCAACGTGGACTTCTGGTAAAACTTGTTCATGTAGCATCTGGCAGGTTAAGAGAAGTTGATGCTTCGTTTTATTATTTCAGCTTCCACATCTTCACCGTGTCTCGTTTCACTCAGAGGTCTTAAACTGAATACAGATCTTTGTCTTCTGCATGTATCTATCTATTCTTCTGAGTGGAGAGCTCAAAGTGTCCATGTTACATGCAGGTAAAGGCAGCTTCAGAGCATTAAGAAGAGACTGCGTCGATGCATCCACCTGTTTAGGTCATTCTTTCAAAAAGGCCCTGAGACACTGATATTGAAAACCTTGAAGTAGTTTAAGTAAAGCTGAAAGGCTTGTGCCAGCTGACCCATCAAGGTTTCATTTACTGAGTGGTGTAGCGTAGAGCTAATCTATTTCTACTTTCCTTCTTTGATTTTTTTTTTTTCTTATTACGATTTTGATTTATTATAAATTGAAAAACTGTAATAGAAAATAAATCTGGATTCTTTGGATTCTTTTTGTGACAGAGGGTTGTTTATGTTGTTGGAGTTTATATTGTGCTGCTTGTAGTCCTTGTCCTGCTCTGCAACCACAGTGAACTCAGTGTAACGACATATGACCCAGAGGGAGATGGCATGCATGGCCTAACTGAATTTATGATATTATTCAGTGTCCAACCACATTGAGCTACACAGAGCAGGCAGGGAGAGCACGAGGTCAGAAAGTAATATGGTAGAGAATAGGATAGACCCACCTTCTGATTGAGTTGACTAGCTGAGTGTGCCATATCCTTTGGGTTCTCAGTCCTCAGTATGATCCTCCCCTTGTCACGCCTGGAGAAGATGGAGAAGGCTCCAGCTTTAAAAAATAAAAATTGAAACCCAGTGTGTGAGGTCACAGTTGCTATATTGTCTTTGATATACAGTCTTTAGGCTTTATAGTTTTGATACTTTTTGTGATGCCAAGAACACAAATTCATATATAAACGTCTCTTTTGGAGCTTGACTGATTTCTTTATCCATGGTTGGTTGTTATTAGCCAATATTGGCTGTTTGCTGAGCTGCATTTATAACATATAAATGTTGTCACAAACACAGAAGACAGTTGGGCAAGAGTGTAAACAAGTAAATAAAAGCAGAACAAACAAATACAACCGTTATGAGGAAAGTCTCATATAAAATATTGGCCAATGTATTGGACTATTTGAATCAATGATTACTTGGCATCTTAAAAGACAGTTAAATGTGTAATCATAAACGGTAATTTAAACTCTAAAATGTTGCATACTGTCAGTAAGTTGGTTAAACCATTCGTTTATTAAATAAAGGCTAATGCTACTAGCAGCACCTTTCTATTAGAAGTGATATTTTCTAGGAAAAAAAAAAAGAATTCTAAGGTTGATTAAAAACATTTCACTAAATGACCTATGTGAATATCCATATTCTTTGAATATTCTGCACAGCTTTGCTTGATCAATAGGGCGGGGCTACTTCATGCTGTATGATCACTTTGTAGAAGAGTTCCTCATGGGCAAGCTTTTCATTAAAGGCCATCCCACTGGCTGGGTCCACGCCTTTGTTGCTTTCCTGCATCGCTTACTTTTACTTTGCAGACACGCAGGTTTACAAACAGCAAACGCAGGTCTGCTTTTTTCTTCTTCTTCTCAGAGCCTAAGAAGAGACAGTGCAAGGTGCTATTTGAGTATCAACCGCAGAACGAAGACGAGCTGGAGCTGAAAGTTGGAGACATCGTAGAGATCACTGAAGAGGTACTGTGAAAAACCAGGCCCCATTGAAGACACTTTTTAGTCTAACTGCTTCCTTGTGTATAGGTGTAGTGTTACATGAATGTTATGGTTTTGCAGTGCAGACACATTTTGGCAAGTGAGAGATGTCAGTGGCTGTGCTGTGGGAAAAGTTTTTCACTTTTCCTTTTGCTTTGGACCTTTCTTGTTGCCCTCATGGCATCAGAATGTTCTGACTGAACCTCTCAATCTCTCTACACAATCAGGACTGGTTGCTTTATTTGACATGTGCACAGGTAGAAGAGGGCTGGTGGAGCGGCACCTTGAACGGTAAATCAGGCCTTTTCCCCTCCAACTTTGTCAAAGAGCTGGAGCCCATGGGAGACGTCGGAGAGTCCAATGACACCAGCAGAGCAGATCACACTGGTAAAAATTTTAAAAAAGGGTGCAGCTGAATTTAAAAACATTTGGCGTGCTGGTATTTTATGTTTGCTTAGGCAAGTTAGGCAATAGGACATGAAAGAAAGCTGGAAAGGTGGGTTTTTGCAGATTTGAGCAAAGCTATGTTGAGTTAGTTTGAGGGTGTTTTGTCTTGAATTTACTAACTTTGTGTAATTTGTCTTTAGTCAGTGTGCTAATCATTTAATAAACCATAAATACCACTTATACAATAGTGTTTATGGTACAAATACCTCAGAGCTGTGGTGGTAGGAGTGTGATATGATTTTAACCACAATAAAATGATCAGAGAAAGTTGGAAGCAACAGGAGATCACTCGGTTTTCACTGTTTTGTACACTGCTACACAGCAAAACACACCGAAGTGTAATGATCCCAGCAGTGAATGAAGGGGACGTAAAGAAACCAACCAAACAGCTGGGCATCAGCAAACATTCATCAGACACAGTGAACACTGCTGGTTATTTTCTAAATCTAGAGCTTGTTAGTTGAGCTGTGTTGTTTCTGTATTTAAAGGTCATTACTTCATTGTTAGTAGAATTAAGTGCAGTTAATGAAGCCGTTCAGTTTAGAATGCAGTCCGTCTGAAACAAGCCTCAACAAGCCAGTAGGCTAAGTTGTTTAGTCTACAGCTGCATGTTTTTAAGCCTTCTGCCGGGTTCTTCTATGACTGAGAGATACAGCAGCTCTTTAAAAAAAGTAAATTTAGGATCCACAGATTGATGGCAGTCAGTGAGCGTATTGGAGGAAAGTTCTATCAGTCAGTTTGTGTGTGTGTGTGTGTACTGTAGGACAATGACAGCAGAGTCAACACGTTTTTTATGAAACGATAAAAGCCAGATATGTTGTGTAGCTAAACCACAGCTAGCTGGGTGACTACCTTTTATGGTGATTGTCACTGTGAAAGGTAAATCTTTGCATTACTGACAGACCTGCTTAGCTCAACTATCAACACCATTTCATATTGTACAGAATTTAGTAACATGGATCATGTTAGTTGCTGAAGTAATTTGGCAAGCTGATAAACTAGCATTTCTACCGGGATATGACTTTGCTAGTGATAACGTTAGCAATGAAACCGAACAAATGACTATCCAGCTAGCTATGACTGATCTACACTGCATGCAATTGTTAGATTTGTGACCAGAGAACAGAGAAGAGGTCAGGACCAGTTTTAATCTGAACACTTCCTAAATGAATCATGCTCAGCTAAGACTGATTTTAATCTTCCCTGGCTTTGGATTAAACCATTGACAGATATTTTTGTTTTTATGGTACCGCTTGTCATAGGTGCTTAATTCACTATGAAAGTTGAATGAAAACAGCATTTCCTTGACTTTGTAACTAAGAATTTCACTTTAAAAGTATTATTATTGTGATGGTCAAGCAGAAGCCCCACTATGATTTGAGATGGAATACCCTGTTTAAGAAGTAAATCACAGTTGCAGCACTGACTGGCGGCTGAAAACAGACTCTTCTGGTGTCTTATAAAGTACTACAGTAATAGTAAAATAAACCCCTGTTAACTCAAACTCTGTCTCAATCAGATGGAAATGGAGCGGAAAGCATTGGCACACCCACCTCACCATTGCCCACTCCGGGGAACGGAGGCATTGCCCAGCCCAAGAAGATCAAAGGAGTCGGCTTCGGAGATATTTTCAAAGATGCTTCGTACAAAAAACGGCACTCAGTGCAAACCCCTGACAAAGAGGAGAAGAATGAAAATGTAAGTGCGATTTACACCACAGTAATGGCAGACATCAGGCAAAAGCTGCTCGCCATAAATCGAACTGCCACATGTTTTTTTTCCCGTTTTTCCTGCAGTTATAGAAATCGTGATATTGTGGATTTCCTTGTATCAAGCATCACAGAATCAGTGTTTGATTAATACCATGCATTACTGAGGGCAGTGTGTCATAATATTATTGTGACATGACAGCATTGTATCCAAGTGGTTTAGTTTTGTTATCCTTATGTTATTTGACTTCGTTCTGGTAACCATATCGTAACAACATCAAATCCTTATATTACTGTGATAATATCACATCTTGATATTGTGACAGTATTGTACTGTAATAGTATCATGTCCTATTGTGATAGTATCATGTTGTCACAATATTCTATCCTAAAAGTATCACATTGCGAAAATATTGTGTCATATCATGACAACATCAGGCCATGATAGGATTATATTAGGACAGTATTATTACATGATCTTAGTGTGCTGTATGTTTCTGTTGGTTGACACCCCATGTGTGATTCAAGTCATATCTGTAATGATTATTTTTTTGTTAGCTTGCCAGCTCTTCTGTTCAGTCTGACACTCATGAGGCTAATATGTTACTGTGGACACTGAAGGACCATACCTACATTAATGTTTATTTTAATGAACACACTTGTTGCTATCATCACAGTAAATCCAAGCCAGAACTTTCACCTTCACCTGACACTATTTTAAGCCACAGCTTGTGTTAAGTCTAATTTTCTCAAATGTGGAAAGAGTAAATCTCAGCCGGCTCCTGATAAACAACTCGATGCATAAGCTCAGTGAATAATTAGTATAGCGTTTATTGTTTTTCTGAAACTTTGCCTCTCTCTCTCTTCTTCACAACAGCTTTCACACTCTGTCTTTATCACTAGCTCAGCTTCCCCCACTCTCCTCCACTCCTTACATACCACCACATTTCACATGTTCTCCCACAGTCTTCTTCACAGCTTCAGGTATCTTCATGTGACCTTCATCATCCCTCATACACTACTGTCTGACTTTGACTTATTGCACCTTTTAG